TCTTCATACATCGCAACCCTACTGATAACAGAAAATTGACCTTTTTTAGCCAAGAAATTTTCACTAATGTGACCACATTTTTACAAGGCAAAATCAGCAAAACATATAATCTATTTGCTCCATTTCAGAGCTGGACATGGGTTTCTTTAAGAGACACTTGTTACTATGCTAACTCAACCGAAATGGCAGTTTAGTACAAAAATCATTTCAATGTATGCTTTAAGAAAAGTCAATATAAAATAAAGACAGAAGCCTTTTTTTCGCCTTAATGAATATCCTGTTTCGCTCTAAAATACATCAAATTTGGATATTAAAATGGGTTACATGTTGACTTTAAAGTTTTGCTAAAACATAAAAAATTAACAATACAAATAACTAGCAACAGTTTATTTATATTGCAAGTAATTCATCAGGCAAGCTATGAAGAGATCTTAAGTTATTTTTCACATACTTCTAACAAAACTGTTTTGCTCGTCTTACACTGCATGCAGTTGCAGGATGACGACTATGTGATGAAGCCTATTAGAATGCAGTTACATGCCCCTGAAATTCAAGATATGAGGGCAAAAAATGGCCCTGTATGGGTTTTTGTCTTATATTTATATCATATGATAGAGTTCAGCAATATCACATGAGCAAGAGTGCTGCTACATTTTAGACACAATCCTGTTAATATTGTCTGTTTTGCTCAATTTCACAAATTAAAATAGTTCTAAACAAAGAGCAATACACGGCAGTGTTTTATTACTGAATGAATCCACGTTTCTGAATGAATCGAGTGAGCCTATGATTCAATGACTCATTCGACGTTCTTGAATGAATCAGTTGTTTGAACGAATCGATTGAGTGATTGAGTGAATGAACTCGCTGATTAAGTGTCTTGCTGCCACTTACTGGTGGTTTAGGATCATATTTAGAGTATAATTTAATTTTTCAGTTATTTCAATATTAGATATTTTTTTTAAAACAACACTGATTTATTTTTTGTAATGTTTATTCAAAGCTTTTCTCACCTAAAACAACATTGACTTAAAATGATTTTTGGAGGGTAATTTCTCAGCCAAAATTGACGTGCAAATGACTCAATTTGAATAATTAATCTGCATCATGTATCTAATTAGATTAAAATTTTTAATCTCTTGACAGCCCTAATTAAAACCTAAAAAAAGAGTAGAGATGCATGTTACTGAACAGATACGGTTCAAACTAAATGTGCAATGTTTCCTAAACTGATGTCTTTAACCGCACAGCACAGAGAATAAAGGCAGCCAAAGTACCTCTTTGCAAAAACACAAAGACCAGCATTCTTTTTTTTCCCCCCACAGAAAAAGCATAAGCATAAATACAAAACATGCTGTAAATGTCTGCATCGAACACATGAATGGTGTTTATGGAGCACACAGATGTCAGTCCACAGATCACAGACTGCAGGCAAAGGGTGCAAACACTCACATCATGTGTGTCTGCTCAGGCTAGCGGACCTGAGAACTGCCCACGTGCCAAAAGAAAAAGAGTGAAACAACGGCTTTTTAAAAAAAATTGCAGCAAAGACAGAAAAGTGAGAAATCACTAAGCAGAAAGCTTACAAACTTCAAAGGTCTGAATTCAGTCCATCAAGATCCACCACACACATTTAATTTCACGCACAATTTGAACAAATAAATAACAAAGACATATGCAAACGATTTTAATGTGCCACACTGAAAGGCTGACATGATTTCACCCATAAATCAGGGTTAAGGAAAATTCTAAATGTAGGACTTCTTTCTTTTTCAGTTCAAGTTTGAATGGAATTGGCCAGGCCCCACAGGATGCTGAATTATAATTTGAAGTTGTCTACAAATGTTTTATGTTCATTATTATGACAGCCTGCTATTCCCTGATATAAATCTTTAGGTTCGACACTGTTAACAACTATTAAAAGTGGTTATTATAGGGATTCAAGCTATAATAACATACAATAAGTATGCTAATAATGCACATAAAAAGGAATGTCAATTTACTGATGCATTAAAAAATAAAACAATTGAAATATAAATTAATGAAAATGAAATGCTAATTTGCATAAGTGGTATTTCAAACACGTATCAATATCGAATTGTTGTGTAATAATAAGACACTTATGGGGCGATTCATACTGAATTGAAAAAAAAAATTTGCTTTCAGCAATTATATTAATTTCTTTAGATTTGTTTCCTTTGGAATTCTACTACATTTAATTCAAATCTGAATTATGATTCTCCATCCTGTCCTGGTTGTTCCATACTTCTTGGGAGCTTTTTATTTTATTTTATTGTAACCTTCCTCTGATTTGTGTCCCGTCATAATCCTGTCTCTGAGCTCTGCAGGTTTTTATCTGGCTTGGTTTTTGCTCTGATACGCATTTACATAAATAGACAGGTGTGGTCTTTCTAAAATATTAATTGGAATTTAAAATGTATTCTCGAATTGACTTTTGGAATGGTGTCCAGCTCGGTCACATCTAGACGAAAAAATAGAATCAATATTTTCATTTGGCTCAAAAACCATTTCAGTCAGTAACTGAATGATTTGTGAGTTGACTTCAGTAGTGAGCGGATCTATCAGAAGGCTGAATGCAGGAGGAACAGGTGTAACACTCAAGCAATCTTTAAAAGAAATGAATAAATATTGATTACACTTTATTTTGATAGTCCACTTTACACATTCTACTAGCTATAAGTAACTTAGTGCAACTGCATGTCAACTAATTCTCATTAGAGTATTAATAGACTGTTAGGTTAGGGTTAGTAGACATGCACTTGCAAAGTTAACATCAAAATGAAATCAAAAACATCAAAATAAAGTGTTACCTGAATATTTTCTGCGTAGGCCTACAGTATATGAATGCATTAACATCTTAAGTCATAATTACAAAGCAGTATGAAAAAGCAGTATCTCTTGACTAATAAAACTAAATTGGTAAATAGAAATCATACGGTTTATGAACTGCTGTTTCATGTGGAGCAGAAGATGGATTTAAATTTCTGTAGTTTGAAATAAACATAAGATGTGAAAAACATATCTGTGCTCTGCTGTGCATAAGGCATCAAAGAGTTGAACGGGAGGAGAGAGAGACAACGAAGGACAAAAATAAAGCAAACAACCATAAAACATCATCTCAGCCAAGATTATTAGCATTTGTTTATGCGCTGGCGATGGGTTTGATCCAGTCAGGTGCTGTCTGGAGAAGCAGGCCAACAGATGCAGACAGAATGCTGTTGGACAAGCTGGAAAGCCAGGAGAAAGCCAGGCCAGATCTCTGATTGCTCAGTGTTGCAAATTTACAAATGCTTTTCCTGCTAGTGTCTGTTTGTCTCAGTTCTCAGTCTGAGCGAGCTGATCAGTTTCTTTTGTTCACTCCTTCTGCATGCAGAGCATTCATGCTGCAGTCAGTCCTGAAACATGGCTATGAAGATATTACGCTGCCCCAAACAGAAATAAAACTCTTATCTTTCATTAGAGTGAAAGCGTTTGTCCACATGTCCGTAAACAGCACTGAAACTGTCAGCATTCTAATGCATTTCTACACTATTTGAGAGACTGACAGTGATTATTCATCACTTATTTCATTGTATGATGTACATTTGCATACTCTACCATAAAACTGTTAAAGTACAGAATATCTGTTTTTTTATATAAACACACATAATTATCGATACCAAACGATATGAAACATTATATCGTTGATACATTTTTTTGCTATATTGCTCCCAGCCCTAGGAGCACCCCTAATATATATATATATATATATACACACACACACACACACAGGTGCATCTCAATAAATTAGAATGTCATGGAAAAGTTCATTTCAGTAATTCAGCTCAAATTGTGAAACTCGTGTATTAAATAAATTCAATGCACACAGACTGAAGTAGTTTAAGTCTTTGGTTCTTTTAATTGGGATGATTTTGGCTCACATTTAACAAAAACCCACCAATTCACTATCTCAACAAATTAGAATACTTCATAAGACCAATAAAAAAAACATTTTTAGTGAATCGTTGGCCTTCTGGAAAGTATGTTCATTTACTGTACATGTACTCAATACTTGGTAGGGGCTCCTTTTGCTTTAATTACTGCCTCAATTCGGCGTGGCATGGAGGTGATCAGTTTGTGGCACTGCTGAGGTGGTATGGAAGCCCAGGTTTCTTTGACAGTGGCCTTCAGCTCATCTGCATTTTTTGGTCTCTTGTTTCTTTGTTAAATGTGAGCCAAATCATCACAATTAAAAGAACCAAAGACTTAAACTACTTCAGTCTGTGTGCATTGAATTTATTTAATACACAAGTTTCACAATTTGAGTTGAATTACTGAAATAAATGAACTTTTCCACGACATTCTAATTTATTGAGATGCACCTGTATATATATCTTTTAATTTTTTTTTTTACATATAATGAAAATGCATGGTGATCGCTGATTGTTCACCTCAAATTTTGGGTGGTTTATTAAAATTGCTGTATGTTTATATTAAACTGAGATTAAACTAGAGTCTCCTTACATACTAAAAATTACCCTCTCTAAAATAAAATAAAATTAATTAAAATAAAAAGTGAAATGAAAATAGATAAAACTGACAGTATGCCAATTACAGGCTGCCCCATGAACAATTTAGTTTCAACTTAAAAAAAGTGTTTGTGCTGCTTTAAAATGTTAAGTTTAGTCAACCTGTAATGTGAAGTTGTTTTAAGTGACAACTTGGATATTTGAGTTATCCGGCAAAGTTATTCTAATCAATGCAGGACTCACAAAACGTCTCACAAAATGCATCAAAATGAAAAGTGTTAACTAATAAATTGGAGGTAATGGTATAAAAAAAATCTAAAGATTTATGCAGCTGAAAAACAAATGTTTTGAAAGGGAGAATGGCTGCGGTGGTTTCATTACAGATTCCTGTGCCACTCGTGCAGTGAAAAAGCCTGGATTTTTCCAACCCACATTCCCAAACGACAGAAAGAGAAGCGCCCCGTAAAGCACCTGGAGAGTGGAAAGCTGGAGGAGAAGGGGTGTTGCAGACGATGGTTTCGGCGAGAAGGTTGTTATAGCGGCTGTTAGTGTCGTGAGGCCTGAGGAGAGGGTTAGTTAGCAGATAGTTGCCGGTCATTCCTGTTGAATAAATAAAGAGAGGAGAATGAGCGTGAACAAGAGAGGTTTAGGAAAACAACAGAAGAGACAGAATTACGTGATTACTAAAGTGAGCTGAAACAGCCACTCAGATGCCATCGCTATGCGTGTGAAAAGCTGCACAGAAGAACAAAATGTTGTATATTTCAGATATGTGAACAGAACAGCCCACCAAGCAAATGTTTTACTTGAACACAAGTGAACAAAAATATCTCTCATCTCACTAGAACTGATAAAATGTTTGACTTTCAGACACTAATATTTATAAATGTCTCCGTTTACAGCATGCATCTGCCACATTACAGATTAATCTTTTCAGAATATACTTATGGGAGCTACAAAAAAACACTATTACATGAACTTTCAATTCCCAATTTTAAGTGTACCAAAGAACACTGGATAAGCCAAACTTGTCCTGCATCATACCTGAGCATATTATGTTAGTATGACTCGCTCGGTCACGTCTAACAGCTCTGAATATCAAACTCTCTTCAGCAACGCCTAAATAATTGATCATTTTTAAAAAAGCACCCTGGTCGCTCTCCAACCTAGGACAAAGACCTGTTTTATCATGATTGTTTAGGTGTAAAATCAATATTTTCTTGGCATTTATATTTGTTTATATATACATGCCTATGCACTTTTCACAGATGCACGCATACATACATGCATGCATTTTCACAAGTTTGTACATATGCATGCATGCATTTACCTTTTGGATGTAGTTGTAAAGATTTCTCTGTAAATGTTTTTTTCTTTATAATTTTGTGAAATTTTTATTTTGTTTAGTTAGCTTTAAATGAGATTTTTTTGCCTCTCCCTGCACTGTTGATAAATTGTATTCACTTGATATTTTTGTATAAAATTTTAAACTGTGCAATATAAAAAGAAAGAAAGAAAATAAAGGACTTCATGTAGAGTCCCGATGAAAAAGATGAAAAGACTATTTGCATGCAGATCCAAACAGCTCATCTTGGCACTCCAATTGAAAGAAGAAAATAAAAATAAAATGCAAACAAATAAAACTTCCAGTTAAGCATTTTGAGCCACATGTTCTATTACTGATTTGTGTTTCTTTATAACAGTTTAAACCTGTATGTAGCGTGTGATGGAAAAAACCTAAAAAATACTCTTTTGCAGGGCTATATATAATATAGATCGATAAAATGGCTAGTAAGATGGATAAACACACTGCATCACAGACCACACAGCAGGACGAGATGTCGTGAACACACAGTATTATCAACCAAGTTAAAAAAAGAGACATTAGTACACCAAATATATCTTCATTACTTGTCGTGTTACTAGAGAGAGAGAGCAAAATACGTCTAAATGCATACAAGTGTTCACTTTAAAAACGATTAGTGGTATTTGCCAGCATTGCTCACTTGTTGATCTTGCTTTTATCTGCTGCCAAGTCTGCAAAATAACAGTAATTAAATTCATATACATTTTTTTTTTATAAAAAAGTTTAAATATTAAATACAAAGATTTTTTTAAATTATACAACTATGCACTCTCACTGTGGATTTATGTAAAATAATTTGATTTATATAATAATTTTGTATAATCATATTATTAGCTATTTTAATATTACATTATAATGCGTTTTAATTGTCCATAATTTGTCCATCATCAGCTCAGTAGTAAATTAACATCAAGCTTCCCTGTGCATGCGCTTGTAAACTAAACCAACCACAAAATGTCAAACCTATTACACAGAAAGCTTATATCGAGTGTACTTAAACTCAGATGGATTAGTTTGTTCAATGCACTTTGTGGCTACAGGTTGCATTAACTGTTTTTTTCCATCATGGTGCAAACAAATAAATCATACAGAATAATGATTTGTTGCTATTTACCCTAATTTAAAAGGCCTGATGAAGACAGAAGGAAATAAACGAATTATAACTTCCACATAAACATCTCTGGAACACGTAGAAAAGGCCTATAGTATCTATGAACCCATAGCAGCGTGTGTGTGAGCCCAGCATTCGATCCGTCACCTTGGTTTAGAGTGGAAGTGCTGTTGATATCTCCGGAGATGAAGGACGACTCTGACTGTTTCCTCACAGTGTCGTTCCACATCCTCCTGATGCGGCTCTGCGGCGACAGAACGACATGTTCACTGATTAACGCGGCTAATATTCATGCAGCTTTGTACTGTTTAGCAGGACTATTAACACCACATGTGGAATAAAAGACTGCAAAAGAAAATGTCTAAGCAACACATTCTGAAGATTACATCTGCCGCAGCTTCACAAATCCCTCACAATAATTACACTAACAACTCACGGCAAGTGCAAACAACAATATTCTGCTTATTCTTTAATACTTACTGAATTATTACAGTATAGATACTTTCAGAAATAGGTATTATTAATGGAACATTGCGGTTTCAATACAGATTAAGCTCTATCAACAATTATTAGTTTAATTGTGGTATAATGCTGACTACAACAGAAAATTGTGCTGAATCCTTCAGTCTGAATTTTCTGCAAAGCTGCTTTAAATTATATAAAAGCACCATACAAATAAAAGAGGATTGAAGTGAATTTGGGGGGGGGGGAATGCAGTGGCATTAATGAACTTACAATGAAAGTCTATGGGGTAAGACATTGTGGAAAGATTTAGAAGATTTATTTTTGTTAAAACACTTACAGTACATAAACTATTTAGTTATTTGAGCTTAAAGTTGTATAACTCATCATTTTGATTTAAGTAGATGGACCTCTATGCGTCTCTATTAAATACGTTAAATAATACAAATATACTTTATGGATTTAATTTAACTTTATTTAACAGTGTGTCTGCTGCTGGCCTTCGATGATAAAATTAAAAAAGAAAAAAAAAACATTTATTTGTTAGTTACATATGCATACTTTTTTATGCTTTTTGCTGAAATAAGAGTATTAAACCTGCTTTTCCATTTTTTTTAATATCCATAAAGGTGGATTTGTGTTGCGTCCTTTCAAAGCATAATATCATACATTTTACTCAGCTACATTTCATTGTTATTCATTATTTTGAACTGAATAAATAGACACCTGCTTCGAGACTCCATAGCAATGTCCGATTCATGAACAAGCCAACTCTCTTCACTGAATCTCAAATGTGAATAGCTGTTCTCATATCAACACGTCACTGATTTAATGATCTGGTCGGGACGAGTCTTCAGTTAACGACTCACTAAATTGTTCATAACTGGCTCAAAATGAACAGGTAGATCCAGCTTGCGCACGACAGTTTCTTTCTAAACAGCTGAATGATTGATTCTTTAACTTGTCCGTTTAAGGGAATACAGATAGAGAAGCGCAAACCTTGTTTACAATCACCACTGCAGACAAGAGAGAGACTATATCAATAAAGAAGAAACAAAACAGAGTGTAACTCAGATGTACCTGTGTAGCAGATGAATATCGAGCAGTGGACCTGGAGGCCGAGGTTTTGTTAACAGCGTGAGATCCTTCAGCAGGAAGACCAGTACAGCACTGAGACTGCCGGAAACACTTGCTGTACTCTTTACGCACCTGTGACGACAGAATCCAACACCAGCTCCGTTAACAACCAAACACAAGCGAAAACAAGACACTATTTACAGTAAAGGAAAGGGTAGGAGATGTGACATATCATAAAACGAATTTGTATGTTTTCTCATTAGGCCCTGAATCTGTTACCCATTAAAGGTCAGCCAATGACATCGCTAGGCGGTAATGAAACGTGACGACTAATTAAGTATAATATACAATAGTTCTTTCTGGTCCTTGAATCTGATTGGCTGAGAGCCTTTTCCAGCAGTGCGATATTCTAGTGATAACAGAACTCTAACCGTTTCACCGTTTGTATCACTCCACTTTCAGTAGTTCTCACAGCGAGAGTCACGGCAGACGCCCAAATCCACTTTAATTTAATAAATAATACTGTTTTTGTGTCACGGAATGTAGTTTTAAGAGTTTTTTTAGGCAAGAATATAGTTGTTTAGACTTAACGTGGTTTGTTAATAAAGATAAAGTCTATTTGAAAATTTGCTTCGATGTTTTGGGAGATGTGAACCCGCAGCGAGCAGCCTTCTATATTGAATGAGACTGAAACAGGATTGTAAACAAGGAGGTTATTTTTACTTTCAATAACAGCTTGTAAGATGCATTTAACAGATGCAGTGAGCAGTGCTGTCATCAGAAATCACCCTTAACATATGAAAGGACAGTACGACAAAGATATCGCTTTCCTCAGCGGACATTCAGACTAGGGCTGCACGATAAATCGCATGCGATATTGAATGCGCATCTTATCAGTAAAGCCGGTTGTGTAATCAGCGGTAAATCTCCATCGCGTGCTTGCTTTCACATTGAGCAGCATTAACTACACAGAGCCTTTGTTCACTGACGAGCTGCGCGAATATGAACGTGGTTTTGCGCAGCTTGTCAGTGAACAACAGCTCTTGCGTTAAATATCGCATGCGATTTATCGTGCAGCCCTAATTCAGACTAATGTTTTATTGTGAATATGAGATGGAGCTGAAGAATGAATGCTGTATCTGTTGCAGGTAATCACACTCGCTCAGTCCATCTCTCTCTCATCATACTCGACTCAATACAGTGATACATTAAGCTTTTAATGAAACAACTCAACTTTCCTTCGTTACTAGCTCTAAAGTGACGTTTCTGAATTAGTTCAATGATTCATTTGGATTACACTCGTGGTAAATACACCACATGTGCTTCTTAAATACAGACAGCTGCTGATTTCTGCAACAGATGTTCTTCACTCATCTCACTATCACAAAAAAACAAGATATAATATTCCTTAAAATCAATAAAAGCCCAGAAGGGAGTACAAACACAAAACTACACCTGTCATAATTAAATCTTTCATAATACAAATACACTTTATGGATTTAATCTCACTTTATTTACTAGCATCTTTGCTGCTGTTTTTCGATTATAAAATTCAAACAACAAATGTCTTTATGGTCAAACATTATTTTAAGGTCCGATTCTCACCATTTACTAACAATTAACTGACTTTGTCTTAATAAACTCCTAATTTGCTGCTTATTAATGGTTAGTAAGGTAGGTGTTAAGTTTAGGTATTGGGTCGGGTTAAGGGATCTAGAACACGGTCATGCAGAATAAGACATTAATATGTGCTTTATAAGTACTTATGAACAGTCAATATGCTAGTAATATGCATGCTAATAATAATAGGTCCCTAAACTAAAGTATTACCATCTTTATGTTAAATATCATATTTCTATTTCTTTTTTTGGGGGGCTGAAATGAGAGAGTTGAACAGTTTATTTTAATTTCCGTAAAGTTAGTACGGTAGGTGTTAAGTTTAGGTATTGGGTCGGGTTAAGGGATCTAGAACACGGTCATGCAGAATAAGATATTAATATGTGCTTTATAAGTACTTATGAACAATCAATATGCTAGTAATATGCATGCTAATAAAAATAGGTCCCTAAACTAAAGTATTACCATCTTTATGTTAAATATCATATTTCTATTTCTTTTTTTTGGGGGCTGAAATGAGAGAGTTGAACAGTTTATTTTAATTTCCGTAAAAGTTGAATTTTTGTTGCATTTCATTTTATTTGTTTCATATTGTGGATGGTGTTAAAGGACCTTTAATTTTATTTTGTTAAGACGTCAGAATAAATTCTCATTTGTTAACATTAGTTAATGCATTAACTAACATGAACTAATTAACTATTAATCTTTGTTAATGTTAGTTAATACAATTTTCATGTTCATGTTAATTCACAGTGCATTAACTAACGTTAACAGATACAACTTTAAATTTTAATAATGTATTAGTTAGTTTCGAACTTCATATTAACTCAAATTAATAAATACTATATAATTATTGTTCATGTTAACTAATATAGTTAATTCATGTAAACAAATGAAACCTTATTGTATAGTGTTACCGTTATTTTTATGTATATATTTATTTTCATTTAAATTAAAAGCTAACACCTCACTCCTCACATGTAATGCATTAAAATATAATATAATTATAATATAATAAATATTATAAATAATCATCAGCAAAAGCCTGCCAAATTGTCTCTGAAACAGTTTCACTGTGAACCACTTTAAACTGGAGCCAAAGTTATATTATTGAAAAAACAACAACAACAACAAAAACTTTATTTATGAAAACACCCTTTAAATGACCTTTCACACACAACTGAGCCTGAAATAAAATTGGGCTGTTTCATGTTGACTTTTATCTTTTATAATTATGTATTAAAAACATATATTTGCAAGATATAACCTCTTAAAACAGGCCTTTGAAAAACGACAACCTTGAAAATGTCTACTGACTTGCTGACAAAAACAAAATCATCAGGCATAAGCTCAAAAGATTTGAGTTTAATTAAATATGACAAATACACACTGAAGCCGGAAAATGCATGATGAGCCAACATTGAACTCATTCAGCGGCCTTCAATAATGAAGAAGCGTGGTGTGTGATAAACCGATTCCTGTAGTGCGTCATGGGTTTACCTTCTTCTGCAGAAGACAGTGGAAGATGAAGATGAACATCCCTTGTAAGGTGTTGAAGATAGTGAAGAGGTACGCCATGATTACTGAAGAGTCGTTCAAGAAAAACAAGCCGAACAACCACGTCAGACAAACCAGACACAGCAGTGCGAAAGCACCAAACACCCAGGACCTGAAACCAACAGGATTACGGTTAGAAATACATTTCATAGCCTATTTTTAATCTACCCAGGCTCGTTGGAAATACATGCCTCTAGCTACATTTCCACAAAACGCAAAAAACATATCTATACGTATGAATCGCTGCAGTTTCCAGTTGAACACTAGGGGCAGTAAAACAACGTTTATTCGTTTTCACACAGAGTATGATTTACAGGGCTAGAGTGTCGGATTAAAACAAGCTTAATTTTCACACCTTGCACAATATTATGTTATGACTTAAAAAATGATTTTAGCAAGCTGCCAGATTTGAAAACTGATACTTTTGAACATTCGCACAGTTTCATATGTTTGGGTTTTCTAACGCAGTAGTTTTTGCTGGCGCTTCCGGGTACGAATCCCCTGAAACTGCGGTTCGACAAAACAGCTCAAACCTGCGTAGAAGGACGTTAAAATAGCACGAGTGCATTTTCATATCACTTTTGCATTCGCTAACACTAGGGTAGGTTTAAGGTTGGGTTTGGTGTAGGAGGTTTGTTGATTTCCAACACGATAGACCTTTTAGCGACACTCACCGGATATTCTGAACCGCCGTGATTCGTGCCTGATGCAACGTAATAAAAACGTGTCACGGTCACATATTGAGCACACGCTGGACATTTCACTTTGAAACTGCTGCAGTAAATTACGTAACATCAGTATTTCACATATAGCACATATTTCCAATGAGCCTGGGTTGCTTTTGTGAGCAATATCATACAACATCTGTTTATAAGTGGCAAACTCTCAGCAAAGCTTGCCGTAACTAAAAATAAATAAATACATACTTTTTTTTGTCCCTTTCCTTCTCATTCATCTCATTTATTAATGACTAGCATCGAATACAATACTACGGAAGTCAATGGGTACCAGAAACTTTTAGGTTCTTCAAAATATCTTCTTTTGTGTTAATAAACTCATACAGGTTTGGAACGACTCGATGGTGAGCAAATGATGACAAACTTCATTTTTAGGTGAAGTATCCCTTTAATGTCAATTAACAGACGTTAGATTGCATTAGCTCTGTGTGCGTTTCTGAATTAGTTTAGGGCTGTTTTATGCATTAGTTAACCTCACTGACATCACGGTTGATTATAATGACAGCATCGGCGAGAGTGAAGAGCTCAAGAGTCGGTGAGGTCATGCTGAGCAAAACGCAGCTGATTTGAGTGGCATTGAGCTTATTTCGTCTCTATCCGAGAGTTAATTAATTATCTCTGATTGGCTATTGCATTCATGTCCTCCGGTTTTACTCCCAATACACAAACACAAATGAATCATTAAAGAGAACCCATTCAAAAGCCATTCCTATGATTAGACCACCCATACACACACACAAGTGTAAGACAGCGGTGTATCGCTGGACTCTTTCCCATTAGAGACTCCAGCAACTATTTCTGTGGATCAAATGTCCTGAACGGACGATCTCTTCAAATGGACACGACAAGAGGAGATTTCACGGCCCCCAGATGCAAGTTTAAAAGTAATTACAACATATGCATGCTAATAAAAATAGGTCCCTAAACTAAAGTATTACCATCTTTATGTTAAATATCATATTTCTATTTCTTTTTTTTGGGGGCTGAAATGAGAGAGTTGAACAGTTTATTTTAATTTCCGTAAAAGTTGAATTTTTGTTGCATTTCATTTTATTTGTTTCATATTGTGGATGGTGTTAAAGGACCTTTAATTTTATTTTGTTAAGACGTCAGAATAAATTCTCATTTGTTAACATTAGTTAATGCATTAACTAACATGAACTAATTAACTATTAATCTTTGTTAATGTTAGTTAATACAATTTTCATGTTCATGTTAATTCACAGTGCATTAACTAACGTTAACAGATACAACTTTAAATTTTAATAATGTATTAGTTAGTTTCGAACTTCATATTAACTCAAATTAATAAATACTATATAATTATTGTTCATGTTAACTAATATAGTTAATTCATGTAAACAAATGAAACCTTATTGTATAGTGTTACCGTTATTTTTATGTATATATTTATTTTCATTTAAATTAAAAGCTAACACCTCACTCCTCACATGTAATGCATTAAAATATAATATAATTATAATATAATAAATATTATAAATAATCATCAGCAAAAGCCTGCCAAATTGTCTCTGAAACAGTTTCACTGTGAACCACTTTAAACTGGAGCCAAAGTTATATTATTGAAAAAACAACAACAACAACAAAAACTTTATTTATGAAAACACCCTTTAAATGACCTTTCACACACAACTGAGCCTGAAATAAAATTGGGCTGTTTCATGTTGACTTTTATCTTTTATAATTATGTATTAAAAACATATATTTGCAAGATATAACCTCTTAAAACAGGCCTTTGAAAAACGACAACCTTGAAAATGTCTACTGACTTGCTGACAAAAACAAAATCATCAGGCATAAGCTCAAAAGATTTGAGTTTAATTAAATATGACAAATACACACTGAAGCCGGAAAATGCATGATGAGCCAACATTGAACTCATTCAGCGGCCTTCAATAATGAAGAAGCGTGGTGTGTGATAAACCGATTCCTGTAGTGCGTCATGGGTTTACCTTCTTCTGCAGAAGACAGTGGAAGATGAAGATGAACATCCCTTGTAAGGTGTTGAAGATAGTGAAGAGGTACGCCATGATTACTGAAGAGTCGTTCAAGAAAAACAAGCCGAACAACCACGTCAGACAAACCAGACACAGCAGTGCGAAAGCACCAAACACCCAGGACCTGAAACCAACAGGATTACGGTTAGAAATACATTTCATAGCCTATTTTTAATCTACCCAGGCTCGTTGGAAATACATGCCTCTAGCTACATTTCCACAAAACGCAAAAAACATATCTATACGTATGAATCGCTGCAGTTTCCAGTTGAACACTAGGGGCAGTAAAACAACGTTTATTCGTTTTCACACAGAGTATGATTTACAGGGCTAGAGTGTCGGATTAAAACAAGCTTAATTTTCACACCTTGCACAATATTATGTTATGACTTAAAAAATGATTTTAGCAAGCTGCCAGATTTGAAAACTGATACTTTTGAACATTCGCACAGTTTCATATGTTTGGGTTTTCTAACGCAGTAGTTTTTGCTGGCGCTTCCGGGTACGAATCCCCTGAAACTGCGGTTCGACAAAACAGCTCAAACCTGCGTAGAAGGACGTTAAAATAGCACGAGTGCATTTTCATATCACTTTTGCATTCGCTAACACTAGGGTAGGTTTAAGGTTGGGTTTGGTGTAGGAGGTTTGTTGATTTCCAACACGATAGACCTTTTAGCGACACTCACCGGATATTCTGAACCGCCGTGATTCGTGCCTGATGCAACGTAATAAAAACATGTCACGGTCACATATTGAGCACACGCTGGACATTTCACTTTGAAACTGCTGCAGTAAATTACGTAACATCAGTATTTCACATATAGCACATATTTCCAATGAGCCTGGGTTGCTTTTGTGAGCAATATCATACAACATCTGTTTATAAGTGGCAAACTCTCAGCAAAGCTTGCCGTAACTAAAAATAAATAAATACATACTTTTTTTTGTCCCTTTCCTTCTCATTCATCTCATTTATTAATGACTAGCATCGAATACAATACTACGGAAGTCAATGGGTACCAGAAACTTTTAGGTTCTTCAAAATATCTTCTTTTGTGTTAATAAACTCGTACAGGTTTGGAACGACTCGATGGTGAGCAAATGATGACAAACTTCATTTTTAGGTGAAGTATCCCTTTAATGTCAATTAACAGACGTTAGATTGCATTAGCTCTGTGTGCGTTTCTGAATTAGTTTAGGGCTGTTTTATGCATTAGTTAACCTCACTGACATCACGGTTGATTATAATGACAGCATCGGCGAGAGTGAAGAGCTCAAGAGTCGGTGAGGTCATGCTGAGCAAAACGCAGCTGATTTGAGTGGCATTGAGCTTATTTCGTCTCTATCCGAGAGTTAATTAATTATCTCTGATTGGCTATTGCATTCATGTCCTCCGGTTTTACTCCCAATACACAAACACAAATGAATCATTAAAGAGAACCCATTCAAAAGCCATTCCTATGATTAGACCACCCATACACACACACAAGTGTAAGACAGCGGTGTATCGCTGGACTCTTTCCCATTAGAGACTCCAGCAACTATTTCTGTGGATCAAATGTCCTGAACGGACGATCTCTTCAAATGGACACGACAAGAGGAGATTTCACGGCCCCCAGATGCAAGTTTAAAAGTAATTACAACTTTGGGTCCAATAAAACATCTTGCTTATCATACCTTCGTCCAGCTCATCTGGAAATATGCATTTAGTTCCCAAGGACAATGTTTATAAGAGTCAGACTGTGCTCTCACATTGCAGGAAGCAAATGCATTAGCTTATAACACAGTGCTTGAAAAGTTAATGTTTTCTGTAATTAAACCCCAATTAGCTGTATTTGAGCATTTACACGTCCAGCTCCAGATGCAACCTCTACATCATGAGCCGGCTCATTCGGCTACAATGCAACGGCCACATTGTTGTTATTAGCGTCTTGCCACTTTGAATAAAGCAATCAAGCTGATAAGTTGCGACAGCAAAATAGCCGAGTTCTGAACATGAAAGCAAATGTCAGAACATAAAACTGCGCAGACAGCTGGGCTGAAACCGAGCTGCTGAGCGTGTATGACAGTATTGAAGACTGAGCTTACCGTATGCTCTCCAGTCGGCTGGAATCAGGTTTCATAGACATTGAGTGCTTTACCATCTTGTACATGGTCACCACCAGAAAGATGAGATTGAGCTGTCAGAAAAGATAAAACATGTTGAGAAGACCACACAGTTCTTGGAAATCACGTTTGCAATTCATCATTCACATGGCATATTTGTCAAACATCATTTCATATTCATATTCACATTCCTAACGCACCTTCCTAACGGATCTGTGATCAACAGGCTATTAGACGAATAGCAATGGCATTAAAAAATAAAAATAAAGCATGGTTTATGTTGGCTGACCTGAACTACGAAGCATAGCATTCAATAATTAATAAAGCAGACAGCAATTGCAAAAATGCAAGAATGCATGAACTCTGCTGGGAGTATGGCATTATGCATAGACCATTTAAAAATGTTCTATTTTTAATCATTCTTAACAATGAGAACACGAGTCAGTACAGAAGTCTGTAAGAATGTTAATATTTCTCGAGACATAAACTATCACGCAGAAAATAAAGTGCTACCATTTGTTCCGAATTCTGATCTTAAAGATTATCGGAGACAAACTGCGTGTAGGCGCCTTCTCAGATGAGTGCAAGTCATAACTTTGGGCCTGAAAATGTCTGCTTGCTGGCAAGAGCTTGTGTTTTTCTTCACCGCCCTGAACATGGGAACGTAATTCAGGCTGACCAGAGAAGACCTCTTAAAGAAACATACTTCAGGAAACAAAAAATGAGTCCCAAAAAAAAAGCATAATCTATTTTAAATATGTGGAACAAGAATAGAGCACCTCTATTAAAAGAAGCTTGTCTTAATTCAGTTGGTGGTGACAGAAAAGTTATTTTGTCCCCAGACTTTCCAAATTTCCCCAAAAAATATCCTTATATATAATAACAACATCCTGAGTCTAAAATGGCATAAAAGTAAGTGGAAAACTATATTTTATTCCGAAATGTGGGTCACATATTGACAATGTAGCATTCAATTCAAGTACTAACTATGTGCATGGGTTAGTAAAGCACATGTTGTTAGTTTAGTATATTGTGTTTGGCTTCAATCCAAAATTAGAAAACCTACATTACAAATAAGTGAGCACATTACAGCTTTGCATACAAGAGAATGAAACACGCACACACACGCACGCACGCACACACACACACACACACACACAATGCAGCTAGAGAGAGAAAAAGAATATGCCCTTTGAAAAGAAAAGCACTGAATTCTTTGCTTCCATGAATCTCAATTTCAAAAAAATGACACTTATGACTGGTTTTCGTGCTCTAGGGTCACATTTGATCAGTTCATGGATTCCCTGGGAATCAAACTCATTGTTCTCTTGGTTTTGCTAGCACCACGGTGTAGTTCATTATTTTGATTATGAATTATTCCATTTCTTTGATGAATCAGATAAAAGTCAAATTTAATTATCAGTATATAGTGAAAAAACATGGTTTTCCACATCTCTGGACCCTGTTTGGCTCAGGTCCTTCCTTCTGCCAGGCAAAAATAATATGTCTGAACACGTCTGAAAATAAATAGTATATCTCTCTTTTTGATTTAAGGTATAATTCATGCCTGCAGCACAAAAAAAGTAGTATGAAAACCCAGACTTGAGGAAGTAGAGGTTACTAATGAAAGGAGAAGCAGGTCAACTGACACAAGGAAAAGAGATGGGAGGATTCACAGAGCGAGAGAGATGTGGGGTCTGTTAGATCATTGATTATGTTGCTGCTGAGCCACCAGGAGCCGCTTCACTCCGGCATGTGTGGAGAGGCCAGGAATGCATTTAACACAGCTGGGAGTGATGACACAGATCTGATGAGACAGCCAGGGACGGCACAAGACCAGCCGAAGCACCTCTGTGCCTCCCTTCCTCCATCTCACCCTTCCACTCCCCAAAATAGAGCCACAAGCAGAAGTTTAATATCAGCCAGCTTGTGTTCAGAGACATGTTACCCTGCTGGCTGACTGAGCCTGTTGAAGTATATTTCAGTATTTCATGTTGAAAGGCACAGGGGAGGGAGGATCTGCTTGACTGTCATGAAAATGTCACACAAGATGTTTTGCGATAAAGTGCCAAGCATTATGATAATGACAATTTGAGGGAGAAAGTAATGTCATATTGAAATACAAGAAAGAAATGGTCCTACACAAAAGGTTTGTAGCTTTGCTTTTGGGGTGAAACGTGACCTAGATATGCAATCCACTCATTTGTGTTAAATTCCTGGTTACAGAACGTGATCTCTGCAAGATAGGAGGAACATGGATGGATTAGGTGTAACTGTTTCTTGTTCTGATGCATGTGCATGTATTAATTAAACAGCACTGACTGCACACTTCAGTATCAAATATAACTGCTTCATATTTGAATATATTTTAAAATGCAATTTATTCCTGTGATCAAAGCTGATTTTTTTAGCATCATTACTGCAGTCTTCAGTGTCACATGGTCCTTCAGAAATCATTCTAATATGCTGATTTATTGCTCAAATTTATTTTTTTTATTATTAATAATATTTAAAACAGTTGAGTTCATTTTTTCCAAGATTCTTTAATGAATAGAAAGATCCAAAGATCAGCATTTATCTGAAATAAAAAGCTTTTGTAACAATATACACTATATCATTCAAAATCTTGTAGTCAGTATACATTTTTTTGGGGGGGGGGGATAAATTATAGAAATTAATACTTTTATTTAGTAAGGATGCTTTAAATTGATCAAAATTGATGATAAAGTCATTTATAATATTACAAAATATTTCTATTTCAGATAAATGCTGTTCTTCTGAACGTTCTATTCATCAAGGAAACCTGGAAAAATTCTACTCCGCTGTTTTCAACTTTCAACAATAATTATAATAACAAATGTTTCTTGAGCAGCAAATCAGAACATTAGAATGATTTCTGGAGGATCATGTGACACTGAAGACTGGAGTAATGATGCTGAAAAATCAGCTTTGAAATCACAGGAATAAATTACATTTGAACATATATTCACATATAAAGCATTTATTTAAAATAGTAAAAATACTTCACAATATTATTGTTTTTGCTGTATTTTGGATTAAATAAATGCAGGCTTGGTGAGCAGAAGAGAATTCATTAAAAAGCATTACAAATCTTACTGTTCAAAACTTTTGACTTATATTACCAAGACATGCGAACAAAGCATACATTCGCTTGGGTACTGCCAAATACCTCAAGAAACTAGGGACACTGCGAAACATATCTCACAATTCAACTCATAGCAAAGAACCACAACACCACGAAAATACGGCAATCGCGTGAAAGAAATCTCTCATCACTGGCCAAAAGGAAGTACTACACTGTGCGTAATTTCAAAATTCTGTAACATTTCCAGGGCAAATTCTATACACATAAATAAAGGTATTCATGGGAAATGTCCAAAACTTACCATAATGATGAACGTAACAGGGCCAATGAAACTCCAAATGAAATGATTATCAACCCTCAACCAGCAGCTGGAAAGAGGAAAAAAAGAGAGAAATAACCACCATAGAGGCAATTACTTAAAGCCATGAACACATTGTAAAGTTTCGAGAGTGACAACCACTTTCATTGGAGGGAATGAATTCCCTAAATCAGCGTTTCCCAACCCTGTTTCCGGAGGCATGCCACATTTTGGATGTCTCCATTTTCTAACCCATCAATTTCAAGTCTTACACTAATGAGTTGAATCAGGTGTATTTAATTAGGAAGAGTTCGAAAATATGTACTGTTGGTGTGCCTCCAGAAAGAGTGTTGGGAAGCACTGCCATAAATAATTGTTTTGTCTAATGGAAAGACGACACTCAGGCTGCCACAAACTTTGTGAGGTTTGACAGTGATAACCACATTTTGGAACTTTAATTAGAGATTTTATTATATGGAGAGATCTACCATTGGAGAAAGCATTAATGGTCAATTTGGGTCATGTGTGCCTCATAAAACAAAAACATTAAAGCCTTGGAGGCTCACTTTAAGGGATGTCAACTTAGCTAACATGACATGATCAGAGATTATTGGATGTAAAATTGGACGGTATGACCAAAGCATTATGATATGATACCATAACTAAAACTAGCATTAATTTAGGTTACAAATATTCTCAAGTTTTCAATAAAACAAAGATCAAACAAGATAAAACATTACTCACGCTTTCCTCGTCCCATAGCTCTTATAGTCGATGGCTGCCGAAATGCCAACCACCACACAGGGCAACAGGTAGCCAGATGCATAATAGTATTTTCGTCTAGAGAATTCACTCTCAAAGACCTCCACAAGCATGAGGAACAGCTGAACGGCCTCCAAACACATCCAGGCAAATGCAGAAAGAAAGAAGAAATGCAGAACTCCAGCAATCACAGAGCACACAATCTGAGAGGAAAGAGATTAGAGGAGTTTAGTCTGCAAAGCTGTTTTTATAAGAACATCTTTGTTTATAAGAAAAGTTATTTGAGTCAAAATCATCAATCATCAAAAACCTCTAACACAGGGCTAGGCAATCCTAAACCCTAAACTAAAAATTAAGGTCCCAAAAGGGGGTTTTCACAGCGATGTCATAGAATAACCATTTTGGGTTCCCCAAAGAACCTTTAAGTGAACATTTCTTAAAAGAACAATTTTTCTTCGTGTGAAGAACATTTTATTAATAGTAAGAAAATCTTTCCACTGTAAAGAACCTTATGTCCAAGGGAAAGATTCCATGGATGTTAAAGATTCTTCATGGAACCATAGATGCCAATAAATAACTTAACAGTAATAACATAACAAAAAGAATCAAACAAACCTGCCTATGGTTTGATGCCTATGATGCCTACGAGCTTACTAGGGTTGAAATAAGCCCTTTTCACACCAAACCCCCCACCCCAAGAGTGCTTAGCAGAATCACACGTACTAAAAAAACATTTACCCACCGGAGGTTCGGTCATGTTGATGCCCACAAGAAACAGAAGCTCTGCGATGAAGAGGTTGATGCAGAGGTTCTTGTGGATGGTGTTGCGATCACTCTGGAGGCCACGGAAGAAGCAGAAGGTGAAGATGCTAATGGCAAGGCAGACGAGTGAAACGGCGATGCCCATTCGTGTGATAACTGTCAGCAGGAGCTCGTGAATGCTTCCCACACCCTTGAAGAAAAAAAACAAAAAACATTGGCATTAACAATTACTTGACTTGAACATCTTTTATAAGCTTTTCTATCATTCGCATAATTAGCAACAAAATGCTGTTGAAACTGTAATGTCAATGCACTGCAGTGATCACTTCCAGTAGAGACAGCTATTGATTAAAATGGAAGCTCATGTCCGGTATAGACCGAGCGTTTGCCAGCAGACATTTTAACTCAGAATGTCCTAACTTCCTAGTGTTTGAATAATCTATCTCATGCCTTTGTTTACACATAGCATCAATACAGAGCATTTTTTAAGAAGCTAAAGATGTTTTAACACTGACAGGTTCTCTTTGCACATCTAAACAACAGCAACAACAACAAAATGATACATTTACTGAAAAGGCTGTATGCATGAATGATCTGATGCTGGGCAGAAGGTTAAAAGCTTTTGTTGAGACACATCGTCAGTTGTGTACCTCAGCGTCCTTGGGTGTTTTCCGTACTCAAAATACACCACAGGCCCACCACAGTCTCTTCAGACCCTGATGTGTGTTTATAGCCAGGCGTTCTTGACATCTAGTTGATCAATGTTTCTTGATGTTTAGCTGTTTCTCTGATTGCAAGACTGCCATGATGCAAAGATTTACACTACGAGAAGCAACAACTAGTTTAAGAAGCAGTGAGCTGTTTAGGTTTGGCTGTATGTCTCCTTGCCACTTTTTGGTTTCTTATGGTGCTCAATTGTTGGTCCAGGTGGTCCTTACTTTTCAGCCACAGTCAATGACTGCTCGAGTGCACGACTGCCATGATGCATGATCAGGGATGCATTTCCCAAAAGCAATGTAAGCCTAAGTAGATCATAGACCCATTGCCACCAATGGTCTGTACAATCAATTTATCTCACTATGCTTCTGAGAAACGCAGCCCTGGTCTCTTATGGTCAATTGTTGGTCCAGGTGGTGTCCTTCTTTTTCAGCCATAGTCAATGATTGCTTTGCTCTATGGGCTCTGTGAATGCCTTTACTGTCTGCCTGCTGGACTGTCCTCTAGTTCTCAGTACCCTCAGGAGCTTTGCTGTGGAGTAGGGGATGGATCCCTTGTATCTCAACTCAACTGGGCACACCTTGATGTTCCAGTCTCAAATATCTGCTTCTGCTGTGAGGTTGGCATGGCATGTACCTCAGTGTCCTACTAAAGAATATGGACAATGAAGACATATTGCTGTAATCTGGACTGGAGAACAAGATTTGACCTCAGGTTGGTGCTGGCGATTTCCATGGGAAAGGTACGTTCCTGGTCTAGGTCAATGTGCATCATCTAGGCCCTTGTGGCATCCAGTGGGCCAGCCTTAGGAAGCAAGGTGTCTGCTCTTCCTTACTCTCCCTCTAGAAGCAAATATATTAGAATTGTTTGGGTTGACTGGGCATTCTGTGGCATAGCATTGGTTGTTGTTCTTTGTGCTTAGTCCAGTTTAGGTTTATGGGAGAAGGAAGAACCTCATTTGTGGCACAGATGAGAAAACTCATTCTATCTTCCACCATATTCCACAGGTCTTTGCAGGTAGTTATTTTCTTCTCAATACCCTCCCATCTCATCCAGCTGTCTTGCTTGGTTTGAGATATAGATTTAACGATTCTAGACTTCTTGATTGGCGCATCTCCTCCACCACAAGTTGTCAGCTGGTGTTGCTATTTTAAAAGGTGGGCTTGCTTGTTCCTTGCCCAAAACCCCTCTTCCATGTTGTACCTAGCCTCCATTAACCCGATGTCAAGGGGTAATTGTGCATACGCTGATGGTGGATTGCATTTCCTTCCATTACTAGGGATAGAACAGGACTGTTTGAGTATCATGTCTAACCTACCTTTAGCACATTTGTATTCCTCCATAAGGCTTGTAATTGGGAGTGAAAGAACCCCGTTTCCATACAGTCCTATCCTGATGACATATCTTGGTAATCCGAGCCACTTCTCATATGTGAGCTAATCAAAAACACTCTAGCTTGCTGACCTGTGAAAGGGCGACTTCGAACAAGGTAATTGGCCAGAAAGACAGGGCAGCTGCAAATCTGGTGCCTCCAATTTGGTCTGTTGCCCTTTCTTTCCTATTAGAGCAGTACTGTTGATATGCTCGAGGCCAGTGATTATATTCTCCCTTATTTGTTGTACTTGCATTTTGTTTAGGTTTACATCAGACTAGCATCCAATGCTTTTAATTGGCTCCTTCAGTACTGTAGGCACTGGTTCAATTATCGGTTGGATTTGTTCAAACTATGAAAATAATGTGATATTTACTTGGCTTGATTTCCATTCGTGAAATCAATGGTTTCCATTTCACTACCTTACTAACAACACAACTTTGACACTCTAGTAAGTACAGTACTTCCAATAAAGATTTTTTTCAGGAGCACAGCAAATTGTGTGCATCATGATTACATTGTTTAAAGAAAAAGCTTAAGTAGGAACGGAATCATTTTGTAATATTCCTGATATCTATGTAATATGCTATATGCAGTCAGAAAATATGATTCTGCTGTCATAATGGTTATATATCTATCCACAGCTGCTGTTGCAGAGATTAGGTAAGTTTGTGGACCAAGATCATGTAAGTAGTTGCATCACAAAACCAATAATTGCCACATTTATAACAGCTTAAATGACTGCTATGCTATCATATCAATGTCTGGTGCTATCAAACACTTACTACTGATATGTCATACTGATATAATTGCATTGTTCCCAGAAATCTGCTAGTGACACAAGAGACATTCATCAAAGTAGATTAAGAATTATATTAAGAAAGTGCCACAAAATATTAATTTGTTCTCTTGTAGAGCTAAGTTGCTGTTGCTGTGAAGAACACAAATTATGTCCAATGAATTCTACTGTACCAGCAGAAGAAAATTACATTCTGGAAACTCAAGAGACTCAATATATACAGTACCAGCATGTAGAAAGCAGAAAATGGGCTCTGAAGAGTAGCTGGTGACTTATAATTACTAACTGAAGTAGGGTTGCAAAGGGGTGGACACTTTACATTTCCTTAAACTTTCCAAAGAATCCTAGAATGTTTCTGAAATTTAAAGGGTTAGTTCACCCAAAAATGAAAATTCTGTCATTAATTACTCACCCTCATGTCGTTCCAAACCCGTAAGACCTCCATTCAAATGTTGAAACGACATGAGGGTGAGTAATTAATGACAGACTTTTCATTTATGGGTGAACTAACCCTTTAACGGAAATTTTCCACTTCTTTGCAACCCTAAGCTGATATGTTAATTTCCTGATTCCTTAACCGGATGTCCCACCACAGGGCAGGTCTGGGAGCGACTGATACTCACCGCATGTGCATCTCGATGGGCCATCAGGATTGCAAAGTTAGTCAGGTGACTGCAGGAGCAAGTGGTGTGAGTCTTGTTTGTCGCGAGGAGTTTGCAGCCTTGTGTTGACCAGTATCCTGTCATGCTCCGCTCAGAATAGTTCCAAAATGAGCAGTTTGGATTGAAGTAGTTCTCAGTCTGATAAATGGAGAAACGTGAATATGACAGGTGACATCTGCAAGGTTTTGAGATTTAAACCTTTTATACCCAAACATTATGTTTTCCTTGATCAACAATCTCTATTAATAAACAAGGCTGATTCACAAGAATGTTCTTTGCTTTTGTTTAACCATGTTTTAAGGCTCTAATTTTAACTCCATCCTAGAATATAAAATAATATGCACCATATTTTGTTACAACAAGATACATTCCAAGTACCAGGAATTCTATCGAAACTTTAAGAATTTTTAAACCTTTCTTCTCATTAGATTTGAAGCATATAGACTGGCCTTACTCTGGCCCTTCACTTTTTTTCAGTATTTCATATAAATACAGTGCTGTGAAAATGTATTTACCCCCAACATGATTTGTTGTTTTTGTGTTTAAGTCATATTAAATAGTTTTAGATCTTCAAACAAAATACAACATGAATCAAAGGCAATCTGATCAAACACTTTTTTTATTGAAGCATAAACGTTGTCTTACACCTCTCACCAATGTGAAAAGGTAATTGCTTACTTAAACTTAAATGACTGACATATTTGAATCACCTTCTTCCTCATCAACATTTGGCATAGTGTGTTACTGGGTAAGACCCTTTAAGTAGTGTTCATTTTGTTAATGAAAAATATGACAAAAAATATTCGTTAACGACTTTTGTTTTCTATGATTAAGACGAGACACTGACATCATTAAGCATTAACTGTGACCATATCAACATTAAATACTGTTGATAAAATAAGACTGAGAAAATAAGTATAAACTCTATATCCAAAATTTGATTAAAAAAAAAAGATATATATATATATATATATATATATATATATATATATATATATATATATATATTTAATCCCTCTAGCAGAGCTTCTCTTCTAAAAGGACAAATTTTTTCACCCAATGTTTTACTTTATGACTAAATATAAAATAAAATAATAACAAAAAGGACATTTGACACAGAACTAAGACTATATTAAACAGCTGAAAAAATTTTACAAAACTTTTACCCAACTTCATGCTACTGAAAAAGTTCTAGTCCAGCTTAACCCCATTATAAATGCCGTTTCATAGATTTGGGAATTAGTAACTACAGGGGCATAAACATATTCACACAGGTCCAGTTGGTATAAGATAACTTTTTTGCTTCAATAAATAACATCATCGTTTAAAAACTGTATTTTGTGCTTACTCAGGCTCCCTTTATTTTATGTTAGATTTTGTTTTCATTTCTGAAAATATTTAGTATGAGATATCCACACAAACAGAAGAAATCAAGAGGGGGACAAACACCTTTTCACAGCACAGTATTCAAAAAGACAAAATATCTAAAAATAAAATGAGAAAAAAGTCTTTAATTAAGCATTTAAGTTCTTACATCCAAATGCGCCAGAGTGAAGATGAGTGGTTCGGACACGAACACGCGGCTGGATTCTTTGTTGATGGAGGCGGAGAGTATGTGAGAGTTGACAGTCAGGCTGTGGTTTCTGACTCCGCCCTCTCCCATCAGCCTCACCGTGGCGTTCTCCGTACTAAGAAAATGCCCCAAGTGCTTATAAAGGACAAAAACCAACTTGGCAACACCTTGAGTAAATAAATGATAGGAGAAGACCATTAGTACTTGCTGGAATTTGACAGAAAAATATAAAACATCTATAGTCGGGTTTCCATCCAAAGTTGCGAATTTAACTTGTGCGCAAAACTGTAATATCGCATAAAACATTTGCGAACAAGCATCGTTTCCATCCAACAAGTCAAAGAGAACAAAATCGACACTTCCTGATAAACTGGCAGTATAAATCACTAAGAAAATGTTCATGTATAATAAATGACTTGCGCCTCAGAGCGAGAAAGACGAAACGCAATGAATGCGGTCATTGCTTTCGGAGGTGAATGTCAGCTCTTTGTTGTGTAAGACATTTCTGGGAGGCAATTATACAGAAATACGTTGCTCGTGCATTTCTGAATGACCATAACAACATTTCAGATGCTGTGGAATGAGATCGGTCCGCTGGTTAGTCAGGTTTCGCCGTCCCATAGCACAAAGTCACGTGACTTTTTTGATGCAATGATTTATTCGCAAAATGCATTTCCATCTCCCTTTATTCACATCAACCCATTTTTGCACAAGTCAAAATCCACCTCAAGCGAGCGTAAAAACTTTTTTGCGAATTAAGGGATTTTTATTCGAAATTTGGCGTTTCCATCACTCGTTTCTCATGCGGTACTTCAAAATGATGGAAATAGGGTGATGGAAACATAGCTTATGATATCTTTTTCTAATTTTGAACTTTCTCTTTCAGGTTAAGTGGAGCAACAGATTGAAGGGAACACTGTGAGCGAGCAGAGTAACAACATGTGGAAGAATATTCGACGGTGCCCTTGAGTACTGACATTTCTTACAGATACAGCAACACAAGAAAGCATGCAATGCATGTAAAGTATTTATGACTTCATTATGTCCTACAGACCAAGACTTTATTAACTAAGCATCTGAGAAGTTCTTCCATTAAAGCATTTGAAATTACTATAACCTCGCTTTTATTTACCATTTTTACTGTTTAGTTTGACCATGTTTGCTGAGAGCTGAATCGTGGCTCCTCTTTTGCTGCTCTGTGGAAACCTGAAGTCCTGAATTTGGCCATCGGTGCTCAACACGTACACGTCCAACACTGAATGAAGAAAGAAAGCAGAAAGATGTGTGCAATTTGGTGTTTTTTTTTTTTTAAACAAAACACGAGACAATGGCAGTTGCATGAAATTGCTTCTCACATTCAGGTTCTCACATTCTTCTGCCAGATGGAAATGAAGGACTGTTTCATTAAGCCAATGCGAGGTAATTTAATTAATACGAGACATTGTGCACATAAAAGAGAGTGAACTGAGAAGATGGTTTCAAAGTTTTCCAATGCACCTCAGGCCAACTAACTCTGCAAAGCTGTATTTGTACCGCATCATATAATTTTCAAATGAGAGGCAGAGAACAAAAAAGTGTATTGTCTAATGTAAGCAGAACATGTTTTCTCTTTAACAATGAACACTGCTCTCAAGAAAATTAACTTGTGCCATTAAAAAGAAAAAGCTTCTTCATTACCTTATACTAAAATTGGCGCTTTTAACTGAAAGATGAGACTTCCTTTCCTACAGATGCAGCATTGAGTGTTGTGATTTCTGACATTCATTTCTCTTTTGATGTGAAAGCAAGAGACCTGAGAGCTAAAGCTTGACAGACGCCATCTTTATTTGCTTTCGATGTATTTTGGTCAAAATCTGCTAAGGGGTAATAATGGAACAACGGTTTGAAGAAGTGATATTTACAACAGCATCTACATTTTCATGCATTTAAATATACAAGTTTTGCTAAAAGAGTTGTGCCTTAAAGTCACTCTTTAAAAACACTTTCTACGAAGCCCACATTCATAATGCATTATAAGAGTATTCTTAAGGCATTATAATGAATGCATAATGTATTATATAAAAAAAAACATATAATATGTTGTATCATTTCATGAGTAATCATAACAACAGTGTTAATGCATTATACTATTTACTTATTTGTGGTTATAGCTTTTAAGATTATGATGATTTATAATACACAGTGAACACAATGCATCCACTTAACTCACAATGGATTATATTTCCCTTCGTTATAATGTATTATAAGTCTCATATCTTTCCATTGCTAACTTATTACTTTACTTAAAGCAGACCAAGACCACTTATAAATAATAAAAAAAATGTTTTTCTTAAACAGCCATAAGATCAGATATCTGATCTGATCTTTATAGTAATATCAGTAAGATATTGTAGATCTTAAATAAATAATGTCAAGATATGAAATTTATAATCCATTATAAATTAAGTGGATTTAACATGGTGTCATACTCATAAAAGTTACAACCACAAAGTTTTATAATGTATTATAATTATTGTTATGATTATTTATGAGATGAAACAACATATTACACTTTTTTCTTTTTTATAATGCATTATGCACTCATTATAATGCCTTAAGAATATCCTTATAATGTGTTATAAATATGGGCTTCATAGAAAGTGTTACCGAACTTTTAAAAACATTTTTTTTATAAAGTCAATGAATTTGCGACAACTAAATGTAACATTTTTGACACGCCAAACATGTCAGTCTCTGAGTAACATGCAATTTTAGCTACATAATAAACTTAAAATTTGTATAACAGACTATGCAACTACCCATTTTGAACGCCTCCAGCACGTTTTATAATACCCAAAAATCAGCTTCAACATGCTGTCTGTCAGAGACGATAACATAATACATAATGCACATGAGTATAAACTTGTTCTCTAAAACTGACAGGTGATTTTTATAAAGTCTTAGTAACACTTCACAATAAGGTTCCATTTGCTAACATTAGTTTACATGAACTAACAACTAAAAACACTTGTAAAGCATCTCCGTTAATATGAATTTCAACATTTACTAATGCATTATTCAAATCCAAAGTTTGATAAAGTTGTAGTTTTATTAAATAATATTAACAAAGATTAATAAACACTGTAACAAATGTATTGCTCGTTGTTAGTTAACGCATTAATTCAGATTAACTAATGAACTTTGCTGTAAAGTGTTACAGTTGTTTAAAAGACTAAGGCAATTATCAAAGTTTGAGGAAATAAAAAAGATGATTTTTTTTCATGATTTGTTACATTTGATCACCCCTTTGCAGATGTTGAGACATAAACATAAGCGGGAAATCTGACAACGGAAGTCATATGAGTTTGGAAGGAGTCAAAGATAATCAAAGAAACCTTTTTTTAATTTTAAAATCCCCCCAAATTACAACCACGTACTGTCCTTTAGAAACTATTCACTCTAAATAATCTCACAGACCCTCAAACAACGTGTCTGAGAACAACAAAACAAAGGGAGTGAAGAAGCACTGGGCCCAGGTTAAAAGGAAAAACCTGCAGTTCGCCGTACAGTGAAATGACAGATGAGCGCACAAAGCCGTCTTATATGAATGAGATCACGTTACTAATAAATTCCACACTTCTTTGGAGACATCAGCATCTGAATGGTTAAAGTCGCCACATGCTGAGACCGGAGCGAAGTCGATTTGGTTTCAGCACATTCACAGTGACGAATGCATTCATGAAATATTACAGAACAGAACAATATCCACCTATTTACATGCACCCGAGAAATCATGACATTTTTGATTACACTCCTTTAATTACAAGTACATAATTTGGGGAATTTTAATATGTAATCCAGATTGTAACAGTAAAAGACTGTAAAAATGCCACAGTAAAAACCTGTTAACTGGTTAACAGTAGGTTTCCATACTATAGTCGGTGAATAAATGTAATACTGTTAAAAATACGGTTTTTGGAAGTGAAAAAGAAAAAGTCCTTGTATAATTTACAGTGAAAAACTGTAAATTGACACTCCCAGAATTCCCAGCATGACACTTCATATTTGATGTTTTTTTTGTTGAATTAACATGTTTATTCTTATCATTTGTGTACATTAGGGTCTAATATTACACCTAATGTTGTTAAATGAATGATTACTGCATTATTTCAGTATCATGTGTGTCACCGTGATGCTGTTTAGTGTTTGTATGAATGACACTGTGTGCACCTTCTATATATAAGTATTGCACTCCTCAGCTCGTAGAAAAGCTGTTTGTGGTGAACTTTGTTTCATCGTGTGACTTTCTCATCACCACTAGTTTTAGGTGGTTATCAGCCCATTACAACGGTTCAAAACAGATATTAACACTTCACTATGTTGGTTTATTAACATTACATTAGTTAATGAAATACGGTATTTTATTGTGAATTTAAGTTAAGTCTGTAAAACCTAAAATGTTGCTACCATATTTTTTACGGTGAACTTCTGGCAACCTCAGCTGCCGGTATTTTACCGTAAATGTCACAGTTTTTTTTTTTTTTTTTACAGTGTACAGTATGTTCAATGTTTTTGTAAAAACTGATTATTTCGCTTTTTTATAGCATGTGTACTGTGTGACGAATGCTTAACTTTGCTAAGCAAACTCAAGAAGGGCAGACTGCTACATTCAGCAAACACTTGTACAGCCGTCAACGGCTCAGATTCCTGCATTATTCACTGCCTGGGAGACTCTCATATCTGTGGCTGTAAATAGCAATCAGCCCAATGATTTCTCGAGCCCAGATCGAATCTGCCGGGAAAGGTTCTCTAAATTAAGCAGCACAACATTAGCGTTGTGTAGGATTGCATGGTCTTTTCTTCTCTTTCCATGGACTCACCAGGAAAGCTGATATCTGCAGAGATGGACATGTGTGGCAGCAAAACAGTGTTGGTTACTCTCATTTAATGCACTGTTGTTACCTACAGGCAAGTCAAACTGCCCACAAACACACATTCACGGAGACCTCGCTTAGTTATTTTAACACATCTGATGAACAGTATATTCAATAAACTTAATGTACAAAACTGAGAGACTTTGATAAAATGCATTTTTATGAGCCACTAACGTCTATTGATTGAAAAGCATACTATTGCAGAGCTCTCCAGCTGCAGAGGGCTACAGAAAGTCAGTAAAACATTCCTGGCTCTGTTTAAATTCATACATAATACTATACTCAAAAGAGCTGAAGAAGATGCATGAAACAGAAACTGGAGCGGACCTGCTACTGCAAGACCTGCTGAAGTTCTTCAGTATGTTGGATCTGCAAACGGCCTGATATGCTAATTGCCTGATTAATTAACAATTTATCTGTTCTCTGTGCTATTTCTTTACCTCTGAGGCTCTCGATATGCCCGTTTCAGATACTTAACACTTCCAGCCGCACTGCAGCAACATACAAAAAATAAAATAAAAATCACGTTTCACTTAAATATTTTCAAATCTCCAAAGGCATTATTTTCAGTGATGGGATCAGTGAACAGATTTTTAAATCAGCGATCCACAAGAGGGTGCAATCATAAATATAAAACCATCAGAACCAGTATATTATGCATTACAAAGAAGTGCATAAATAAAATCAAAAGATTTAATCTAAGATCTCGTGATATTTCTCAAAGCTGTCTTTAGTCAGTACTTCAACATGTCATATTTACTGTCAATTTCACTCTCACTAAAATAGCACCTTAACATTCAAGTTGACAAGAAAGTGCCAAATTAAATGTTCAAATATTTTATTTATTAATGTACACTACCACTCAAAAGTTTCTTCTGCTCGCCAAGGCTGCATTTATTTGGTTATAAATTCAGTAAAAACAGAAATACTGTGAAATATTATTGCAATTTAAAAGAACCGTTTTGTATTTTAGTATATTTTAAAATGCAATTTATTCCTGTGACGCAAAGCTGAATTTTCAGCATCATTACGCCAGTCTTCAGTGTCACGTGAGTCTTTACTGACGCTTTTGATCAATTTAATGCTTCCTTTACTGATTAAAAGTAAAAAAAAATAATTAGTTTCTTTTAAAATTCTGAACATTTACAAATGTTTAACAAAACGTTTTTTTTTTTGCTGGTCTCCTGAAATTACGCTATTGCAATAAAATAGATTTGTTGCGCTTTAGTTATTCATTGTCATTGCTTTAATGCATTGTTATGGAAAAAAAGCGCAAAAACCTACAAGAAATAAAAAATATTGTAATGCAAGACTGGTGTCTACATACAAACACTGACACAGTAAGTTTGTTTCTTTGATTTCTTTACAGATTTGGAGAAATATATAAAAACTCCATCATTACAACTCTAAACTGTCACTTCTGGCTAAAAAATACATGCATAATAACACTTCCTCCGGTGAAAAAGTCCATCTCTTGTTGTCTCTTACATAAAAAAATCCAGCCACATATTTGTTAAGAGCTGTTTCGGCTTGTAAACGGTGCAGATTTCTCTCTTGATTCAGACCAGACAACTTTTTCACTGGAGGAAGCAATATGGATAGAGAGTTAAAAATGTATGCGGATTTATTTCAGCTTTTGTCAAGACATTAACTGATGGACTGGAGTGCTGTGGATTGTTGTGATGTTTTTATCAGCTGTTTGGACTCTCATTCTGACGGCACCCATTCACTGCAGAGCATCCATTGCTGAGACACTGATGCAGTGCTACATTTCTCCAAACCTGATGAAGAAACACACTCATCTACATCTCGGCTGGAATGAGGGTGAGGACATTTTCGGAAAATGTTTATTTTTGGGTCAACTATTTGTATTGTTTTGCCATTGGTTAATGCCAGTTTGGCCAGTTTATGTGAAATGACCTTTCCGCCTCTTCCAAGCATTCCTGCCAATTCCGTTCCCTTCCGCTTTGGTTTTCAGAAGCAAACATCACTCCTAGAAAAACTCCATCAGTCATTAAGCATCAGGTCAGAATCGAAACTTCATCATTTACATCAAAAGTTGCCGGCTAAGATGAAAGCACTTACTGATGTTCTCGGCAGGCACTCGGACGACTGCGGGCTCGATCAGGTTGTCTGCAAGGACAAAGGCTCCTTCCTCCAGGGTATCGAGTAACATAGTAGCAGCATGTGTTTGCTCTGTGGAATTCATGTCCTCCCAGGATTTAAGGGCTTCTGGCCTCAGGAGGTTGTCAACTGTGTCCACAATGGCCTGTAACCATGGAAACAAGAGAAATGACAGGCGGTTGATATTTTTCCTTCGCTTTCCCTGGGAAAAAAAAAAAGGATCCAGCACATGGAATACACTGGAGAGAAGCGAATGAGACTTGTGACACGCAACAACTATAATGGGAAATGAAACACTGTAGCGCGATTCGTGCAAAACAGTTCAACAGTTAATGTGCTGTGTGTGTTTATGCCACCTTTCGTTTCATTGTAAGCCCAACTTCTAAGCATTCCTTATCCAGTTCCGGCACCAATTATTAATTTCCAAACAGTTTCTATAGTTCGCAAAAGATCAAGTTTCTCTGCTTACGAAAACTTCCGTCAATATACTGGACATAAGGCAGTTTCCACACCAACTGGAATCTACACAATTTAGTTGATTGTCATATTAAATTTCCTGCTGGGGATCAATAATGTATGCATTCCTATCTGTAACAGGATCTAACTGTCAGGCTGTCACAAAAAAAAAAAAAAAATCCTATATAAGGTAAAAAGCATAACTGGACTGGAAGTGGCTTGCAGATTATAGAAAGACTCCAGAAAACGGGATGCTCTCATTGGTATCCATTTCATTTGCATCGGCTTTAACCAGGATGCAATTCAATTAATGAATCCCACGGCGACTGCAGGGCTTTTGGGTTTAAAGGGGGATTTTAACCTTATGAAATGATCTATCTATTTAAAAAAGGAATAATTTAAAGAACCCTTAGACAAAACATAAAAGACAACGTTCTGCATACAGTATGTGTTTTACATCAGGCTTTAACGACTCTTATAGTCTGCTAGAGTGAGAATATGGAGGAAAAAACAGCTCCACTTTATTCAGAGGCCCAAACTGAGCAAAAACATGCAATTTGGTGCAGATGCTGATGTTTATATGGCCAAGAAGTGATGAAATTCTGATGCCTGAAACGTAAATCAATGAGATCTTTGTAACAGTATAGCAGATACTTACATAAAATTATATAAATATCAGTCGGCGCTCTATATCTCCAATAATATGTCTTAGAAAGATGATATTTAACTGATCAAAACATAATGCAATGCAATACAGTGATGACTGAGAGATGAACAAACAAACAAAACGATGTCTGGAGAATCAAGCAAACCTAAGCTGCTTCAATCCAGTAAGCGCTCATCTTGAAATATTACGAACAGTTATTCTTATGTTTACTTTATAAAAATCAGTAAAGATTTAACAGCAAAAAAAACAAAACACGTGAAGCACCAGCTGAAGGCAGAGATTTGTACAATTATACTAGAAGACCTCACTAAAAAAAGTCTAATCTTTCGATCAGGCGACAGAAGAAAGTTTTGATTGCGTTTATAATTCCAAACATTCTTTTGTTTGGTATTTTAAAAGCCTCAAACAGAACAGATTTCATGAATAAAACATTTCTGTGCAGATTGTTCGTTTAAGCCATTCTCATGTAAATTGTAACATTCAAAGCATTCATTTATGCAAGAGTGATCTTTACAATTTACACAGAAATTCATCATAAATGTGGCCCCATCCCTCCTTTCTTAAAATATTGTCCCTTTATTTTAAATATTTACATTTCAACTTAAATGTTATGTTGCTAAATGTAAATGATAATAAAGCATACAAAACAAAACTGAAAGTTTAAACGATTTATAATGATAAAAAGAAAAACGGAAATTAATTACAACTTTAACTTTACTTCTAAAGGACTTGCAAAACATGCACTCGAGTCCCAGACTGGGAGTTATCTGTAGAGATTGTGAGAGGATCTCATTACCACAGAGCCCTTGAATGACATGCAGTAATGACAGGACACTTAACCCATGATTACGCCAGACAGATTCCCCTGCAATTGCACTACAGTAAGTCAAGAGCATCTGCTGAGACACGAGTAGTGTTCACAGCCCTGTTCTCACTGTGTCAACTCATTCTGGACATGCATTGATTGAGTGTCGTGTGGGCCTTGTGGGCTGTAAGGTTTCTTTCAGGTTTGAAGCTCCGCTGAAAGCATTCGACCAAACGCACTGCCGACATCAACCTTCACCATCAAACAAGTCTTCACAGTGAACCCTGTCTGCAGTTAACTTTGTGAAGGACCTTCAATTGTAAATATGTGTGCAGAAAACGGAGATGGATTTTTCACATTTTATCCAGGCGACACTCAAACTCACTAGCTTTATGCATTTATGAAGACCGATGCATAGGCACACTGTAAAAAAAAAAATCTGTAAAATTTACGGTAAAAAACCGGCAGCTGTGGTTGCCGGAATTTTATCCTAAAAAATACGGTAGCAACGTTTTAGGTTTTACGGTCTTAGCTTAAATTTACAGTTAAATACCGTAATTTCATTAACTGATATGATGTTAATATACCAACCTATTGAAGTACTGAAATCTGTTTTGTAGCTTTGTAATGCACTGATAACCACCAAATGCAGGAGGTGATGAGAAAGTCACATGATGAACCAAAGCCCATCACAAGCAGCTTTTATATAATAACATATATAGAAGGTGCACAGTGTGTCATTCACACAAACACTAAACACCATCACGGTAACACACATGAAACTGAAATAATGCAATAAACAATCATTTAACAACATTAGGTGTAACATACAACCCTATTATACACAACTGATACGAAAAAACTAAGAAGAAACATAGTTATTTCAACAAAACAACATCAAATTTGAAATGTAACGCAGGGAATTCTGGGAATGTCAATTTACGGTTATTCACTGTAAATTATACAGTCTTTTTCACTTCCAAAAACGGTATACTACCGTAAAATGACATGTAATGTCCAATACAGTTTTTCACCGTATACAGTAGGGCAATTTACTGTTAACCATTTAACAGGTTTTTACTGTAGCATTTTACAGTCTTTTACCGTTAAATTCACGGTAATTTTTTACGGTGCACTGTAAAAATTGGTTCTTTTTTTGAAGGTGTCAATAAAACAAAGATTACTGCACACTTAAAAATAAAGGTGCTTCACGATGCCATAGAAGAACCTTTTTGTCTAAATGGTTCCTTAAAGAACCTTCAACATCTGAAGAACCTTTCTGTTTCACAAAAGCTTCTTTGTGGCGAAAGAAGGTTCTTCAGATTATAAAAAGGTAAGAAAGAGATGGTTCTTTAAAGAACCTTTGACTGAATGGATCTTTGTGGAACCAAAAATGGATCTTCTATGGCATCGCTGTGAAGATTTTAATTTTTAAGAGTGTGGAGTACATTTGACAAGAATTTCAGTCTTTCAGCTTCAAAATCTCACAGAGTTTCTGCAGGTTTTATGAAGGTAAATTTGAGACTTGTTAAGACCTTTTTTAGACCAATTAAAGAAAATGTAAGGAATAAACTGAAGATTTAAAAAATTGTGCAAAAAATACTTGAATAGCTCTGCTTCCAACCACTAGAATATGAAAATAACTTTGCCTGTACTTCTGATCACACTGCACAAAAAATGCTTAGTAATTGTGTCTCGTTTTTCAGTTCAAATGTCTAAAGATTCTTAACTTATCAAATTTTTCAAAATGACATGAGTTCAGAAAAATCAGAAAAATAACCTTAATTCAAAGGCAAGTTTTCATACCCAGATATTTGTTCTTATTTTAAACAAACTCACTTAATTGTATTCAGTTTTTTAAGAATTTACATTTGCATAAAAGGTGATTAGACATTTATATTGGAAAACACAAACACTGAGGAATACTTTTTTTTTTTTTTGCAATGCATGCAACAATTAAAGCAATGATTTTACGAATTTAAGACTTTTTGCTCTGATTTATGACCTTTTTAAGGCCTTTAATTGTGGAAGTGTGAATTAAGGCATTTTAAGACTCACAGAAACCCCAATTTCAAGCTTAATTCAATGTTGCTTTGTTATTATTTGTTACATTTACTAGCAACTTCTGAGTGAAATGGTTTCAAAGTACACTCTTTTTTTTCAGTGTTTCCAGGAAAACTGTACGGTGGGTGAAATAACTGTCAGCACATGTTCTTTAATAGACTTTTCAGATCCTAAACCAAAAACCGAAATAAAAACTCATCACATAGACAAGACCAAAACACAGTCTTGAGTAACGGATAATGCAAAGCTCAATTTTTAACTAAAAAGCTGACAAAATTTGACTGAAGATACTACTAACTCATCATGCACTCATTCCTGTATCCATTTTTTGTGTTTAATAAAATCTTCTAATACCAGCAAATCATAGTCCACAACTGTGAGAAACTAAAGCCCACTCTAACCTCCTGCTGACTGAAATATGTAATAAAAGATGACGGATCACTTCTCAAGACATTAACTGATGGACTGGAGTGCTGTGGATTATTGTGATGTTTTTATCAGCTGTTTGGACTCTCATTCTGACGGCACCCATTCACTGTAGAGCATCCATCGCTGAGACACTGATGCAATGCTACATTTCTACAAACCTGTTCCCATGAACAAACAAACTCATCTACATCTTGGATGGCCTGTGGGTGAATACATTTTCAGAAATTTTTCATTTTTGGGTCAACTATTGCAATAAGGAGGAGGGTGAACAGATAAGAGGAAGGCGGTGAAAGCAACACAAAACAGAACAGAAAGACAAGAACGAGGCAGAACTGTCTTAAAGAGAGTCGCGTGTCAGCAGGACGACAGACAGATGGATTTCCAGCCAGACAAACAAGCTGCATGCAGCCGAGCAGGTGAAGGGAATCCTGGGATTGGGTCCATATATACCTTCATATAGGCCCTGCAAGTCCTCTCTCTTTTTTGACGCTTTTTTGGTTTCAAACACAAAGACGGAAGATTAGGAACAACACGCGCACACACACACGCACACGCGCGCACACGCGCGCACGCGCACACGCACACGCACACGCACACACACGCACACACACGCACACACACACACGCGCACACACACACACGCGCACACACACGCGCACACACGCGCACACACGCGCACACACGCGCACACGCACGCGCACACGCACGCGCACACGCACGCGCACACGCGCACGCGCACACACAGGAAAAGAGGAAGAGCAAGAGAAGAAATGAGAGCCTGTGTGTCGCTTCAACGACAGGCACTTTTATGTTCCAGTGATGGATTTTATATACATTTTTAATTTTTCCCTATATGGAGAGCACATTAAAACTGTCATTGCTTTTCACTTAAAAAGAAAAATGTGACAATATTAATTGCGTTTCAAAACATGATGATTTAAACAAAACGTGATATAATATTTCAATATGACTGTGTGAAATGATTTATGATTTGTAGTTGTGACATCATTTCCACCATGACCAACGATTTTGTACCTAAGTGTCAGTGAATAGCATGTTTAAGACAAAATATAATAAGGAAAAAAAAAGTTACCATCACGTATATTTTTTATTTTTTGCAATTTCTAAGCAAACTGTAACGGTAATTATGCAAAAGGTGCCAAAATATCACTTACTGTTTGTATTAAGAATACAAAAAAAAGCAGATTATGAAACGGACCTTAATAATCAATAATCATTCTGTAATCATTGTCAGTATAGACCATTTAAATAACCTAGTAGCATTAAATTCATTTCTGAAAGTCCACAGGGCAAAAAGTGCCTATAGCTGAAGAAATATCTGTATATATTCAAAGCTGAGATCATATAGAGTATAAAAGGACACAGTAGAGCACGTCCATAAAAGCATTTCTATGAAACATGTCTATGGATGTGCATCTCTCTTCTATAAGTCACTGGCTGAAGAGGGAACATTAGAACACGCTATAAAATTAAAATAAAATATAAAAAAAATGTAATTAAATAAAACAAAAAATTTAAATTAAAATTAATTTAATTTAATTTAATTTAATTTAATTAAAAAAAAATAAATAAAAATAAAAATAAAATATGCAATATAAGCCTTGGTAATGCTGTAAGGGCTTGACTCAAAATAAGAAATGACACAAACTAACAACAGGGACTGGTATTCCCTCACTAATCAACTCTGTTAAAGTTTTAAAGCATAAATGAACTTTTGCTGGCCACTGAACTTGTCAGGAATAGAAACTGTCAAACCAGAACTGCTGACGTTTTTAGGACTTGGAGATTCAAACTTTACCAAATCAAACAAATCAACATCCACAAATCACATTCGCTCTAGCCGGATATGTATTGCACTGTACCTTGTTGAAGCTCCGTCCCGCCGTATCTTTATCGTTAGGTTTGAGTTCCTGCAGCTGTGCGTCCAGTATATCCACCAGCTGCTCCATGAGCCGCACAGAGGAGCTGACGTCGCCCGCGTACACGGGACCCTGAGAGTGACGCGCCAACTCGTTCGCCAGATTCGCAGCATTCTCACCACTCCGGATCTGAAGATGTGAGGAGTTCAGAAGAGAATGAGTGAGTCAAAAACATCTAACTGAATTCATTATAATAGACCTCAGAATATCTGGGCTTGTTACCCATAACTGTGCATGCTTGGCTTATATATTTAGAAAATCATTATTATTTTATCTTCCCCTCCATCTGGGGTAGTAATACTTGTGCAGGTCAAAAGTTTGCAATAATTACGATTTTTGAATGTTTTTAAAGAAGTCTCTTCTGCTCATCACGGCTGCACTTATTTGATTAAAAATAAAGTAATATTGTGAAATATTATTACAATTTAAAATAGCCGTTTTCTATGTGAATATATTTTAAACTGTAATTTATTTCTGTGATCAAAGCTGAATTTTCAGCATCATTACTCCAGTCTTCAGTGTCACATGATCTTCAGAAATAATTTTAATATGAATGTAACTATATGATCGCTCGGCTCTAATCTGCTAAATGCAAATATAAGGCATGAACTATAAACATTAACACAATGATTTTCAGTAAAGCCGCTTTGCAACAATGTGAAATGTGCTATAGAAATGCATTACAGCGACTATTTCGGACTCACCTTCTGTGCCACCTGTGCCACCCAGTGAGACGTGCAGTTACTGAGATCAGGACCTTTGGGACTCCAGATCCCGTCGGCAGACGTACAGAGGAACAGAGCGATTCCTGGAGAACGACGGAAAGAGAAAACCTGTTCAACACTGACTTTAAGATCAGCACTAGTTCGCAGGTCCTCGTCTTTGAGATCACTACATCAAAAATTCATTCATGCTAAGATTCAAACTTTTTTATAAATGTGAAAAGGGCCATGAAACGGAGAATCAAAATGTTCTTGATATTTACACATGGGATAAAAACATACTATAAGTTTCGGTTTAAAATATGAATTATTATTTTCTATCTGTCTGAAATGCCAGGATTTGAAATCAGGCCAATCATCGCGTCACACATTCCCCTCGGGCTAGACCAAGACTTTTTTGGTGCAAAAACTTTTGCAAACTTTAAGAACTAACCTCGAGAAACTTAATATAAAACTCTGAAACTCATGTACAGATGTGTTTTACTGCTGATATGCATTAGTGAATAAAGGCAGCAACTAAACCTTCACTTCATGAAAACCATCTGTTCTCTATATTGTGATTATTTTATACACAGAAAGTGATCAAAGATCTCTCTCTTTATAATCACTGGAGCAGCGCGAGTCTATCAGTCATTTGATTTCTGCATTTTCGCCAAAACTCCCGTTATAATCGATGACACAGTTTACACTGCACAACGAGTCTCTTATTTCTACTGTGTCTTCACTGGGCACGTTATGATAAAAGCATTTGTGAGATTGCAGAAATCATTTGCGTCGTGCAACCTTTGATGCTCTAAATATGATGCTATAATCAACCACTGTAAAAAATGACTGTGAATTTAACGGTAAAATACTGTAAAAATGCTACAGTAAAAACCAGTTAAAGGGTTAACGGTAAATTCCCCTACTATATACGGTGAACAACATTATTGGATATTACATTGTCATTTTACGGTAGTATACCGTTTTTGGAAGTGAAAAAGACCGTATAATTTACAGTGAATAACCGTAAATTGACATTCCCAGAATTCCCTGCGTTACATTTCAAATTTGATGGGTTTTTTTTTGTTGAAATAACTATGTTTCTTCTTAGTTTTTTCTTATCAGTTTTGTATATTAGGGTTGTGTGCTACACCTAATGTTGTTAAATGAATGTTTATTGCATTATTTCAGTTTCATGTGGGTTACCGTGATGGTGTTTAGTGTTTGTGTAAATGACGCTGTGCCACAATGACATTTTTTTACAGTGCACTTTTCACAATTAGTTCATCTTGCCGGCTGTTATGGTAAAAACACAGTAAAAGTTTTCAATAGAGTTCACATGCAATGCTCATTTCATATGTAAAGATGTTAGCCAATCACAGCAGTGGGCGTTTACAATGAGTCTCACCGCAAACCAGAGAAAAAAATGACCATTTATATCTAAATTATGAGAGTTTATGATACGGTAGGATTATAAGTGCACCACAGGAAAGATTATAAAATAATTTAAACGATGCATTTCATCACTTTAAATTAGGACTAAATCTGGTGGAGTCTGTCAAACTTTTCATGCTATTTCATACAGCTCTGCATAATTTTTACTTATTAACGGAGCAATGGAATGCAAATCTTGCTGATAATTTTGGCATTTCCATATGGATGCCATTCAAATAAGAAACACCACACGCCGGATACCAGCACAAAGGAGGTCCTTCTGCACTAATGACAGCCAGATTCCTGACGCTAATTGCAAAAATAATTCAAATGCCTGCCTCGAGTTCCTTTAGGACACGGCCGCTCCACCGTCGCTCCTCGGTGCGTCTGCGGCCAGGAGATTCCTCTCCTCTCCGTCCCGTCGCAGAAGCGTCTGCTGGAGGGGGGCGGGCTGCCGGCGCTGGGGTTCGGCGGGTCCACGGCTGCCGGGTCGGGAGTGACGGAGATGTTGAGCGCAGGTCTCCGGGTGATGCTGGCAGTGCTGGTCCTGATGGGAGGTGTGGATCTTCTAGGCTGCACTGTTGATGTAACGTCATCAGAGACCGTCGGTACTGTGGGAACAGGAGAGAGTTATTTAAACGGGTGGAGAACACAGACACTTTATTTGATCTCTTACATTTTAGAAACACAGATATCGTTTTGCGATGTAAACCCTCCCCTTGTAATTCACGCACAAGTGGTCAGAAGAGACACATTTGAGATGGACAGGGATATTATAGTCAACTACAACTAAAAAAAATCCCACTGTTAATTAGCGTGCATATTACTAGCATATTGTCTGTTTATTAGTACTTATAAAGCACATATTAATTCTTATTCTGCATGACAATATTTTTAGATCTCTTAAACCGACCCAATACCTAAACTTAAAAACTACCTTACTAACTATTAATAAGCAGCAAATTTGGAGTTTACTGAGGCAGAAGTCATAGTTAATAGTTTAAAGTGAGAATAGGACCTTAAAATAAAGTTTGACCATCAAATTATAAATAAAAATAAAAAATAAATTGAAATGAAATTGTTGCCAAAGCAACATTTATAATTTTTGCTTAATTTGATATACTAAAACTACTAAAAACTAGAAGAAATATTAAAATTAAAATTAAAAGGTTACAGATTGTTTTGTTAATTGAAATACAGCTGAAATAAAATATGAATATTAGATGAAAAACGTTCATCCAATTAGAAATGTTGCCTTGAAAACTAACTGAAAATATGTTTATGTCGATGTACTAAAGTTACTTAAACTGGAATAAAATAAATAGTAATAGAAATATAATTAAAAGACAAAGACAAAAGCACATAAGAAAAAAAACTTACATTTTGTTTTAAATAAATTTTAGTATATAAATATTTTTATTTATTTATTTTTGCATTAGTTAGGCTAGTGCAGGTTTTGGGAAATTTTCACTTTAGGTTAATTTAGTAAAAAATCTTTGTTTTTTTGTCGAAAATATTGTCAAAATGCATAATATTGTGAGCTGAGCGGATCATTAAACCCCTAACGTTCTCCATGTGTAGGCTTTGGTTTCCGTCACAACCCAAAGATATGCAGGTGAAATGGAGATGATAAATTGCCCGTAGACGTGTGTGTGTGTGTGTGTGTTGGATTTTTCCCAGACTGTTTCCCTGCCTTCAGCTCGGGGCGCAGGCTAGTTCCCAGCACTCCCACAACCCCACACAGGACAAACGGTAAGGAAGATGGATGGATGGATGGATGGATTGATAAAAAAAAACTGTCCAAAGGAGTGCAAACGCAGATGTGAACATGTCCAGGAGTGATTCTGAACCGCTCTCATGTATGCATCGTGAGTGCCTTTGAATTCTCCTCTGTGTGTTTGTGCTCCTGTCTCAGACAGCACAGCGACTGCATGGAAATCACCACAAGATATGAATGTGCTCAGACATATTAATTCTTATTCTGCATGACAATATTTTTAGATCTCTTAAACCGACCCAATACCCAAACTTAAAAACTACCTTACTAACTATTAATAAGCAGCAAATTTGGAGTTTACTGAGGCAGAAGTCATAGTTAATAGTTTAAAGTGAGAATAGGACCTTAAAATAAAGTTTGACCATCAAATTATAAATAAAAATAAAAAATAAATTGAAATGAAATTGTTGCCAAAGCAACATTTATAATTTTTGCTTAATTTGATATACTAAAACTACTAAAAACTAGAAGAAATATTAAAATTAAAATTAAAAGGTTACAGATTGTTTTGTTAATTGAAATACAGCTGAAATAAAATATGAATATTAGATGAAAAACGTTCATCCAATTAGAAATGTTGCCTTGAAAACTAACTGAAAATATGTTTATGTCGATGTACTAAAGTTACTTAAACTGGAATAAAATAAATAGTAATAGAAATATAATTAAAAGACAAAGACAAAAGCACATAAGAAAAAAAACTTACATTTTGTTTTAAATAAATTTTAGTATATAAATATTTTTATTTATTTATTTTTGCATTAGTTAGGCTAGTGCAGGTTTTGGGAAATTTTCACTTTAGGTTAATTTAGTAAAAAATCTTTGTTTTTTTGTCGAAAATATTGTCAAAATGCATAATATTGTGAGCTGAGCGGATCATTAAACCCCTAACGTTCTCCATGTGTAGGCTTTGGTTTCCGTCACAACCCAAAGATATGCAGGTGAAATGGAGATGATAAATTGCCCGTAGACGTGTGTGTGTGTGTGTGTGTTGGATTTTTCCCAGACTGTTTCCCTGCCTTCAGCTCGGGGCGCAGGCTAGTTCCCAGCACTCCCACAACCCCACACAGGACAAACGGTAAGGAAGATGGATGGATGGATGGATGGATTGATAAAAAAAAACTGTCCAAAGGAGTGCAAACGCAGATGTGAACATGTCCAGGAGTGATTCTGAACCGCTCTCATGTATGCATCGTGAGTGCCTTTGAATTCTCCTCTGTGTGTTTGTGCTCCTGTCTCAGACAGCACAGCGACTGCATGGAAATCACCACAAGATATGAATGTGCTCAGAAGCAAATATTTATGTTCCCTTTCATTTCAGCCACTGCTGAAGCCTGAATAAAACCATTGGCAGATGGTGCATAAGCCCCGCCCCTTCACATGTCTGTCACGTCACGCTCCGCACCATCTTGTTCTCTCTGTGATACGAGGACAGACATGTTCTGGATGAAGCCATGATTGAAGGCACTGAAGTTCAGTCATTCGGGGAAGCAGGATTAAACGCATACAGTTTGGAAACATTACGATTTTTAAATGTTTTAATGAAGACTCTTCTGCTCACCAAGGCTGCTCAAAAATACAGTAAAAACACTAATAATGTGAAATATTATTACAATTTAAAATAGCTGTTTTCTTTGTGAATATATTTTAAAATGTAATTTATTGCTGTGATGTAAAGCTGGATTTTTCATCATCATTACTCCAGTCTGAATAATGATGCTGAAAATTCAGCTTTGATCACAGGAATAAATTACATTTTAACAGATATTCACATAGAAATTTGTCATTTCAAATTGTAATAATATTTGACAATATTACTGTTTTTACTGCATTTTTTATCAAATAATTGCAGCCTTGGTGAGCAGAAGACACTTCATCAAAAACATTTAAAAATCATAATGCTTCTAAATATTTGTCAAGTGTAGCAAGAAAGAATCACTTGACTCTTAGTATTCAAAGCAATGTGTGATATTGGTTTCAGCAAATACATGTCTCTTGACATCAAAAAAGATGTGCTTTAGGGTTTCATAAGCCTTTATCATGGGAAATTAAACGCAGCATGTAATATTCAGTAGATTCAGTGGCTCGTTCTGTTCTGTGATTCACGATGAATGTTAATGAAGGAAGTTAAATGGCTGGTTATCGGTCTATTTGCAGCATTATAATGTAAATCACAATAACAAAATCACCCACGGGCCTGTAAGACCAAGGTTTTGTGTGTGTGTGTGTGTGTGTGTGTGTGTGTGTTTTATATCAAACATCCAAAAGCTTTATCGCTTCATTGTGAATGGACTTTAGAAAGCTGAGGACAGAGGCTGCATTACTCGCCAAGTGCATTTTGTACTGAACTGTAAAAACATTAACAGATGATTCAAAATACTTTCCATCATTTTGACAGATAAAATAAATAAGGTTGGATCTGGTCTATTGTGTTTTTAAACTCCAGCAATACTCCCACAGTTAAAGGATGCCAACACACTAATCCAACAACCTGAAACACAACGCTCGATCAAACTAAAAGAGCTTTTGCCATCAGAGTTCTTGGGTGATGTGCATTTCACAAGACAAAGAGCAAAAGTTACAATATTTACTGATAGATTAAAATCAAACAAGATGGAAATGTACAACCCTTCACATCAAAGTGCTGGATAACGAATATTTGTAGAGCAAACTACTCTAGAAGGGACTAACTAACTAACAAAACAATTAGCAACTTGCCAAAATTTACTAAAATTACAGGTTACTCCATAACCATTATTTGCCACTTTGCCAGACTGTGATGCTCTATTTTTATCATCAGTAAAAATAATAAAATATAAAAAAAATATATTTAAAATATGCTTTTATTGTTTTGTTTTTTTTGAGTATCACAACTCAATATGCAATGCAGTTTCAATTTAAATCTAATTTACTCTATATAAAAAAAATTAAAAAAAAATCAGTAAAATGCAAATTCAGTTTAAATACCGTATTTAAAAACAATGCTATTGATCAATGCTTTTACATTTACATTACATTTAAATTCAAGGCATACATTTAATCAGCTCTTGCTTTTCCTGGGAATCGAACCCATGACTTTCTCTACTGTTTGAGTTAAATGAATAAACATTTAAAAATGTATAATAAATAAAGACAATTTAACTAAATATAGCTTCAAAACATCCAAGTCCAATCTAACTGTAGAGGACTTTTAAAGCCACTGAACGTTTCCAGACAAGAGCAGTAAGTCATCTTTATCTTTTTCTCAGCTTTATTGCCGTTTCATTATTATTGATGACATTATAGACAGCAGCAAGTCTAATAGGCTCCATTTACTACACTAATGCATTAATGATCCATTTTGACACATCAGTAATTTGTCCCATCTGTTTACAATCCCTTAAGACATAACTGCCTGTGTTTACATAAATGTTGCGCTATACAAACACTGCGAAATGCATGTGCATTTTTCCCGCTAACACGCAGTAGCACAAAGCCACATACTGTGGGTGTTCATCAGAAAACAGACGCACATACGCAAGTGAGCATTACTTTCGTTTATCACATAGACTTGAATGATTATTGTTTACATACTGAAAAAAAAAACAAGAGAAAGAAAATACATTCCACTCTTTCTTTTCAATATCATAAAATGCATTAAACAATACATTACAGATGTAGACTCCAATATGTTTGCATTGTGGGAGTGTTTCTAAAATTATGAACGGGCAATTTTAGCATTATAAACGGCATCCATGTGTGGCAACCGATCAGACCATGTATATTTCTGAATCAATTTAAAAAGTTGTTCCAAAAACACATTTTCGGCACACATATAACTCACAAAACGAAAAC